CCCTTAGGCTCCACAGAAGCTGGCCAGTTAGCTTTTGTGGTAGGGGTTAAAGATCTGCTTCCAGTTTGAGGCTGAAGCTGCCCACCCTGGCAGAAAGTTAGTGTATGGCAACAGGCACAGCAGAGCCTCTCTCTCTTCTCCCCACCCTCTGCTCCACAGCCTCCCCTAAAGCAGGGAGACTTGTACTTAGGGTTGGATCACTGTGGGAGGATATCCTGTAGCTCGCATGCAGTGACAAACAGCAGTATACTCAGACTTTACTCTGAGGATCTTAAGAATGAAATATATGCCTCTACCACTCTCCCAGAACATGTCTTGACTTCAGACAAATAGTTGGAGATCTTATACCCTGGGAAATGTGGAGACTGGCCTGGCTTGAGCAGGAACCAGCTCATATAAGTTTTTCCATCACTTATTCACAAGACACTGGTTAGACCTGTAAGAGATAGAGGTTGGCTCTTTAAGAGTGCTGATCAGAGAGGGTGGAATCTGGGTCATCACAATGTCCCCAGTGGATCCTAAAGTAATATACAAGAGAAAAAATGAGTGTATGTGCAAGCATTGTGATCAATGTTTATTTATATTTTAATATTTCTGACTAATTCAATTTCCTGCGCTGTTGATTCATATGCCCCAAATGTCCAATTTCTAAAGTGATCCCCAAATTTTCAAGGTACAGAGGGGTCTCTAGAAATCCTCTAAACCATCCTGTACTTTCTGTGTAGGAGTTATCACCAGATGAATGGCCCTGCTCCTTCTGGAATCTTCATCCTTCTTTGTTCTAGGCCTCACATGCCCCATCCAGGGGGACCATTCATGCACATCTAACATGTGCACAGAGCACACATGGGAGGCAGTGAGCCCTAGAGCTTCCCTCCCACCCCAGTCTCATTCCTCATCTGCTTACCAGTTACTCAGAGCATTAGCAGCCCCAGGAGCTGAGCAACAATTCTCATTATTATTTGAATAACTAGAGTAAAATTTGCCTCCTTTACAGAAGAACATACATGTACTTGTAAAACCTCTGAAAATTTCATAGTTAATAGAACTTAGCATTTATTTTCATGATCCTGGATATTCATGTTAACAATCATCTGGCCGATTAAGGTGGTCACAACCGTGTTTCTACTGCTGGACATTGAGCTCGGCTCAAGCCTTTGGGCTGTGTTTGATCTGGGACCAAGACAGTGACTATGTCAGGAAAACATTTGTATGGCAGGTAGCAGGCCTGAACAACATCCCCAAATCAAGCAAAGCAGGCAAATAAAAGTGCAGGAATCTACCTCTAACATAGTTGCAAACAATTTTTACTTATCCTTTCACTATATTAATATGTAAAGTCTCTGATATATTTACTACATTTAATTTTTGATGTATTGTCCCATGGGAAATAGTCATGTTTTTCATAATTCTTATTTCTCCAATAGAAAATGTTTATCATATATAGTTTTGCATTAAATAGAAATAAAGGTAGGCATGTTTTCAATGTAAGACTTTTCTCATTGGAAAAAGAAATATCTTTCATTAAAGCAAATGACATTTAAAATACAACTGCTTAAAAATATTGTAAATTACCTGTTAATTTGTTAAATTTAAGACTGTCATTCAACATGCCTGAGATGCATTTGCTACTTGGCAGGTGTAACCTGCTCACAGGGATCAGCGCTGATGCTGCACTGGCATCCGGACAAACACTGAGTAACAAAGTTTTCCCATGAAGGACAATTTATACTATACACACCTTTAGGTTTTCCTGTTTGTTTTGTCAACAGAAGGTTTTTATTTGTTTGTCAAATGATTGCTATATATTCTAGGCAATTTTCTCATTTTTCTTCTTACTCTATGGCTTACTGGCATTTTCCTGCAATGATCTCAGACTTTCTAGTAATAAGTGAAACCACATTCCAGCATATTCCAACATGATCTCAGACCTGAAAAGTTTTGAGATTTGGGGAAATATTGCTCTTATATGTCATCATTATCATTTCTGGAAACACAATTCCCCAAATCCCTCTTCCATCTATGGTTTCTTGTAGGGTTACTCAATGAAGGGCCCTTCCTTCATATGTGAAAGTCAAAAGAGGATGATTCAGTATTTATTGACACTTGTAGGCAGACACCTGGACAAAGCAGAGGAATGGGGGATCCTCTGGGGGAAAAGCTGCATCAGCTGAATGCAGCAGCAGCCCCACCTTGGGCTTCTCAGACTGTTCTGAGGACCAAATGGATAAGCAGCCTATAACTTCAGTGGCAGATAGACTCTGACTATTGACAACCCCCCTGGATTCTCCCGTGTCTGCTATCAGCGTCCCTGACTACCCTAGGTGCAGGTTTCTATTTTTCATTCTACATTACTGTTTTAAAAGAATTCCAACTTGGAATATTAAAGTAGCTTCTATTTTGAACTATGGACACTGACTGATGCCCTAAACATTTGTCAGGTATCATAATTGCCGTCCTTTCTTAAATCAAGGGAGTCATGGTCACATCTGCACTACTAAGAGTGAGGAGCAAGAAAGAACTAGAATGCAGAGCACCCTCCCAGGCCCATTCTGTACAGCAGAATACAGTGCTTTTATACGAGTTCTCTTCTGAAGGACCATTTTCTTACAAATCATCTCCAGATAAAAGATGCAGAAATAATCAATTTTGGATGCTCACCTGTACCCTCCTGAGTGACTAGGAATATGTGATATGACCTAAGGACCATTCATTTGGGAACTTCACTAACCCTTGAGTCACCCAGGCTCTGGAGCCGTCCTTGATGCAGGACTTTCCCCTGAGCTGGCAGTGGCATCAGGACAAAGCCTCAGGGCCACTCAGGGACCATCAAACCTGTGAGTCTTTCCAAGTCACACATGTGAGTTTCCCTCACAGTTTGTAGCTCAAGCCCAACACCACCAGCCTCCCCACCCCAACAAACGTGAGCAGCAGAGGTGGGTATTGTAGGAACAGCTGACTCCTCGTGTCCTTCCTGCTCTCCTTTTCTACTGCCACACAAAGACTAATATTTTTATTCTTGGTGGGCAAGAATTACCATTTTCTAAATTCTGCTGAATGTAGCATCCATTGTATGTGCTCTAATTCTGTCAGACTTGGTTATTTATTTTTACAATCCAGATTTGGAATTCAGAAATCTCACATTTTACTTCAACATGATGCAGGGGTTCTCAAACTTTTTAAATAGGAGGCCAGTTCACTGTCCCTCAGACCATTGGAGGGCTGGAATATAGTTTAAAAGGACAGGCAGTGGCAGCAAAAACACCTGGCTGGTGGCTTAAATGTCCTCGATGGGCCAAATGTGGCCCACAGGCCATAGTTGGAGGATACCTTACTGATCAAAGATTTTGACACATGACTTTTGATTTCAAAATAGATTTAGCATAGTTAAAATCCAATAACTGAACAGTTTTCTTGGGTACTCCCAGAAACAGTGCACAATGCTGGATCTGTCCCTTATTACAGAGACTTATGTTAAAACTGGAGTGTCGAGTGTGAAGTTGGATTGAGGTGAAGGAATGGAGCCTATACCACTAACCCAATCCAACTTCATGTGCACCGATAGCTATTTAACCAGAATGACATGGAAAATACATATTAATTTTAGACTGCTATGAGTCAGCTTCAAGGGCAAAGCTGTCACGCTGACTTGATTTAATTGAAAAATCAATGCAGGGCAGGCAGGGAAGATTCGGATGAACTTTCACTCACTTTCTCTTCAGTCTTGTCTGGTTGTCAGGGGGCACTTTCCCCCCTCCATTCTCCTCGAGGTTCCATCTGGCCAGGCTAGCCCCGCTGACAGGTCCTGTGTGTGCTGTCTCAGATGAAGCTGGGGCCTCACGTTCTAGAGCATTCACTATAGTCTATTACCCTGAGTTCCCCACAACTCAGGCTTTGGTGCCTGCTCAGCAGACAAACAACACTGGTGGGCAGCTGGGCCACGCAGCAGGGAGGTTTGTGTTTGGGGCTGTATCACTGTGTGAGGAAATTCTAGAGCTTGCATGCAGTAATAAACCCCAGCATCCTCAGGCTGCACCCTGCTGATCTTCAGGGTGAAATCTGTCCCTGACCTACTGCCACTGAACCGGTCTGGAACTCCAGAGTCCAGGTTAGAACCCCCATAAATCAGGTGCTGTGGAGACCTCCCGGGCTTCTGCAGGAACCAATACAAGTAGGTGTATCTGTTACTGTGCAGGAGGCTCTTACTAGCCTTGCAGGAGATGGAGGCCGGTTCTCCAGGGGTGACAGCCAAGGAGAGTGGGGTCTGGGTCATCACAATATCCCCACTGGATCCTGAAAGAGGGAGAAAGAAATGCAAGGTTATCTACAAACATTCGTAGACATTTTTCATTCTTTATTCTAGGCTAAATTATTTTTCATGTGTGCGATTTTGTCTCAGGCCCTCAAAATATTCAATTTGAAACAGAACAGAGATTTTCAAGCCATGAGAGAAACTCTAGAGGTTCCCCATATCTTCCCCTCTGTCTCGGTCAGAGTTTTCACCAGAGTTTTCATAGCTCCTTCTAGAATCTTCCTCATCCTATTGATCTGAACCTCACAGGCTGCATCCTGGAGGACAAGACGTGTACATCTAACACGTGCACAGAGCACATATAACAGGCAGTGGATCCCTGAGGTCCTCCTCGCCCCATTCCCCTCC